CTCGCATGATCCCATATTCAGTGCAGTTTTGCCTTCCCGAATGTGGTCAAGATGCCAAGCATCCAGGTTACTTTACGTGCTACGAAGATTTTTTGCTCAATTGCCAATTGTGGTTTCCCATCCCGCGGGTCATAGTCAAAATCTTGGATCGGTTCGGTCTGTCGATCAGTCAACTTTCTCTCTCCGGGTTACAGCATCTTATCGAGATTTTGGTGCTGGGTTACGAGTGCGGTATAACTCTTAACGCGGATTATCTCGAGGCCATTTTGTCGCGCAAACGCACGAGCGAGGGTTATTATTACCTATCTCCGCGGGCGGAGATGTCGATCATTGAGAAATTTTCCTCGAATGGTCACAGTTGGAAAGAGTTTTTCTTTTACGTTCGAATTGATAGTGCCTCGGTAGAGAAGAGCTGCATCCCCATGTTCAGGAGTGAATGGGGCAGAAAGGGTATTTAGATTGTGCGTTTTTGGGTACATCGTTTCCGAATTCTAACTTCGTGCTTGGTTTGTGTTTTGCATCGTCTGGCCTTCTTTCTCCTCAACCCGAAGATCTCGAGCAGGTCAAGATCCTTCTCCTCGGTGTCAGTTTTATTGGGGACACTTTTATCCAAAGAGAGTCTGTCGTGCCGTTTCCTTTCACTTTTCTCATTTTTAGCAGAGAGAGCCAGTTGAGTCGGAGCTAGGGATAGACAATGTTCCGGGAGCGAGGGAGAGGTCAAGATCTCCGCAGGATAAATGTGTTCCGGTCGACATGGGCTAGTGGTTTGATGGCCTTCCAGAGAGCCTAACAGCGACAATGAAGAGACTGATATTGCGGATTACATCGATTTCCCAGTTTCCCCGTCCGAGGTTAGGCCGGCCGAGACGCCGCTCGCGAAAGCATCGAGACTGGTCAACAAGGTTTGTTATCCTTTGCCAGTTCTTGTGAGTAATATGCGTATGATAAGATTTCAATAGAAATATTTCTGTTATTTGTAGGGTCTTCGTTTTATGAACAAAGCTACGAGCACAAGTAACACGGAGATCCGTGGGGCTGAATCTAGAACTGAGGCGGCAGATGAGGTGGCTGCTCATCTCAAGGAGAAGATTGACACTAACCCTTTTCGCGCTCAGGAGTGGGCTGAGAGGGAAGTTTCCCGCATGAGGGAGGAGCACGATACCGATTAAAGATGCGCAAAGGATCAATGGCGACTATCGTGAGTGTCGTGGCGTGGTTGGTGGGTTACACCTCACTCAACTCGCGGACTACTCGTACGAGAAGGAGTATGCTAAGCATAAGGCGCGCTTGGATATGAAAGAGAAGAATCAGTCCGAGCTCCTTGATCTTTAGGTGCGGATGTGGGCGCAGTGGGATCCTATTGTGGTGCCACCGTACTTGGTTGAGGTCGGGACGGAGATCCCAGACGAATGTGGCGAGGTTGATCAGCCGGGGGCTGATGCGAATGCTGGCCAATGCTGGGCGTCTGGGTTTTATGGATTTGATGAATGAGGTTTTCGTCGTTTGTTGTAATGTACTCGTTGTAGTTTTTTTTATCGGGACTAGACGTTGGTGGCTTTGAATCCTTGCCGCTGGGTGGCGTGTATCGGATGATGTTAATAATAATGAAAATTTTCTAAGTATGAATTTTTTTTTGTTTTAAGTGTTGAGGGAAGAATACGAGTTGTCGTCTCGTACCTAACTCTTTGCGTGGATCGTCCTATTCATTTGCTCGTATCAGAATGTTTAGATTTTTTGCGTGAGCGCTTAGATGTGCACGAAGAGACATGCCTTTAGGATCTCACTTCATGCCTTGAGACGTTAGAGACCAGTGTGTTGGGTTTAAGGCAAGACCTAGGTTTACTTTCGGTTTTAAGGCTTTGCGATGTCTAGTCGGCTTTCGTTTTGCCTGTTGCGATTTTAACCTGATTTCGTACCGATTTAAAGTCCGTGATAGGTTCTCGGCTTATATGACTTGTCTGGTCGAAATCGAGCATCCCCAAAGGTGCTGACAAAAATTTTGGATTTCTTTTATAGCGCACTATTTTATCCTAGTCGGATGTATAAGGACCAGTGGGTTGTATACATTTGTTTAAGACGGCAGGTGTGCTCGGGGGGGGGGGCAATCGACGAGCGTTTGTGATTTTATAGCCATGGATGGACTTACCGCTATTTCTCTAAGACTTTAGGCGACGTCTCACCGGTTCTTTTCAAAATATTGGTGTTGATACAAAGTATAAGTTTTTGGTCGAAGCGACCAAGTTTTTTTTTTGTAACTTACTGCGAAAGTAATTTCGAAAAGTGTCTGGAATTCGGGTTTGTTTTTAGATTATGTTTTTCGATAATGGAGAGATTTGCTAATATTCTAACTTTGTATTTATTGAAATGTTTTGAAAATCTAGAGTATAAAGCAAATATATATATTTTTAAAATATGGGAGTTAGAGAGGGGATAGCTGAACTCGTCTTTAGGCGAGCTACCTACGTATCCCTTTCGGTAATCAAGCCATCTCATAGTTCTGATTGTTGGCGCCAGTGTGTTTACTCTTCTATTGTAGACGCTTCGATCGCTTTAGTCGCTGGATCGGTGTATTTTTCCGGGTTTTTGTCATCCAGTTGGGTAAAAACGATGGGTTCGGAAACTTGTTGCTTCTGTACCGTTGCAGAGCTTGCCAATTCGGGGTTGTTTTCCACGGTTGGTGGAGTTGATTTCACCCATTTTGGTTTTACGATGGCGATCGCCATTTGCCTTAGCTTATGTTCTGCTAAAAAGCAAGACCGCGGCTGTCTCTGGCATCCCCAAATTGCTGTGACTCCCGTAGGAGTTGGAAACTTGATGCCTAAGTGGTACGTCGACGGGACTGCCTTCATGGGATTTATCCAAGGCGTTCCCATGATTACGTTGTAGATGACCGGTCGATCGACGACTGCGAAAGTAACGATCTTGGTCACTTCTTTTTTGGCCACAGGCAGCCGGATTGATCCTAGAGTCATAGTCGTTTCGCCAGAGAAACTGGTTAACGGTTTTGGTGTCGGTTTGATCTCTGTTAATCCGATTCCCATTCGCGTCAAAGTGTCGCGGAAGATCACGTTAACTTAAGGAAAACCTTTATTTCCCAGAGGTCTCAGATATTCGCTAAACCACACGCCAAGCAATCAGAATACGAGAAAGACAGTAAAAACTATATGAGAATCGAAAAGAGAGCAAATAGGTTTCTTACTCTGATTTTGTGTAAGAACGGTAACAACTGGCAAAGCATTGGCTACAAGAGCTGACGGTGAATTTCCTAGTTATAGCAACTTAAGACTAAAACCCTAGTTGAGACGCAGCTTGGTAACAAAAACAGAAAGTTGCCTAAATGCTAAGTTTTTCTCTGTGATGAGAGCTCTGAAAATTTTGTCCTTCTTCTTGTCCTCAACCTTGTGCTTATATACTCTTCTCCTAGGCAGTTTAGCCTTTCTTTTTCCGCCTTGATTCGTGTTTTTCGGAAATCTTCCGTTCCTCTCGATTCTCCATTTTATCTTTGAAAACTTTTATTTTTCTCCGAACTTGACATTTATCTTCTTCCTGTGCATAAATGGATAAACCGTCATTGTATCTCTGGGCTGGACTTCGTCTAAAGTCGCGTATGGGCCTTTACCGCGTTTTAGAACCTTTCAGACCGTTTTATGCCTTTGTCGTTTTATGACTTTAGACGAGATCGTTCCTTGATACGATGGCGTTTTAATGAAACATCTCGAGTTAATCGTATAGTTTGGAAATCTCTGGTGTTTCGTCTAACCGTTGCCGTTTTATACGATTTACTCGAGTTTTTATGAGAAAACAAGTCTTTTACAATTTTTATAGTAAAACTCCAACGATAAGACGGATCGAGACGAAATGAGAGATGTTCCGATCATGGTTCAGAGTACGATCGGGTCGAAGGACGTATGTCTTGTGTTGGGGAAATATGGAGAGTAAGGCTCGGGATGATCAGCTTGCCGGTATGGCGACCTGAACGGGACGGTTTAGCTCACCAAGACGTCGAACTGGTTCGGGACGACCAGCTCGCCGTCTGGGCGAGCTGGTTTGGCTTGGTCGGCTCGCTAGAACGACGAGCTGGACTGTCCCAGATAGCTTGGTCGTTTTGGTGAGTTGGACGTTACGGCCATTTTTTGCTAATCTGGCCAATCGGACAATCGTGGATTATTTTATTTGATTTTCCGAGGATTTCCAAGATGACGATTGTTAAGTTTACGAAATTTTTTTGTTCGGAAAGTCCTTAGAATTCTTCTCGACGCTTTTTCGTTTTTTTATAAACCTATTGTTAATTGTGCAGAAAGTTTTGGTCGTTAATTCCGTCGTAACCGATTTTGACCCCAACATACCGTGTATGTGACAAAACGAACCATTTGGACTTTAAACGGAGTATCTGCTTTCCTAAAATATGTTTTCTTAAAACATCACATCGTTGGTTTCGAGTTATTCATCTTCCGTAGCCATGGAAGCTGCAACTGCAAGAATCTTCACTACTTGTGCTCTCTCACCAAGATCAATGTGAAACCATATATATTCTCAGAGCTTCACGGAGCGTGAACGAAGGTGGGAACGCGACGACGTTCGGAACCTATGGTGCCTTGCTCGTAGGCAGGAAAGAGTTAGTAGAAACGATCAACTCAAGGGTTGTATAATCGATAAGGGAGGAGTAGATCCTCCTGACTTGTACTCCTCACAGCTTCACAACTTCGTGCAAGAGTGTTTCAAGCCAACAAAGCAGCAGCAGCAGCAACAAGCGCTGTGATTGCGACTGTCAAGATTTCTGTTTCTGAATCTGGTGGAAAGAAATAGTGGAAAATGATCAAAGCTAAGTAGTAAACGGATTAGTGATTTGTTTTCAAATGAAATCCGGTTTGTCAAATTAAATTGGATCGATATTATGTTGAACCGGACGGTTATAAATGATCTAACCGTCTGGGACGAAGACAATGAAAAGGTCTTTTGTATGGGCGAATTGAAATCAAATGAAATTGGATGGGTAGGGTCGGGTTCAAAATGATATAACCGGCTTGAGAGGGGTGGGGGTTTGGTGAGAAGGCATAATGGGAGGAGCGGAAGATTCGAAGATATCTACGGTCGGTGCTGTGGTTCTGGGTGGTACGTTTGACCGATTGCACGATGGTCATCGGACTTTCCTCAAGGTTCGATCTCTCTGCCATTTCTGCTTTAACATTAATTGGAAGTAATTTTATCGAATTTTTTCTTCAGGCGGCGGCGGAGCTAGCGAGGGATCGATTAGTGGTGGGAGTATGTGATGGCCCTATGTTGACCAACAAGCAAGTAAGCTATCGACGATCACTCCCTCTCCAATCTATTAGTTTAGATCTAAATTGACAATATAGAGGACCCTTGGAACATCCTTGTACTGAGTTTCTCTTTTTCTGTATATAGTTTGCTGAGATTATACAACCCATTGAAGAAAGAATGCGTAGTGTGCACAACTATGTCAAGGTACTCGCAGCTTTACTTTGAAATTATATGTTAAATGAATTGACTAAATTAGTTAAGAGTTTCTTCTTCTCTCCATCTTCTTTTCTAGTCTGTCAAGCCCGAGCTGGTTGTACAAACCGAACCCATTACTGACCCCTATGGTCCTTCAATCGTGGATCAAAATCTGGAAGCTATAGTTGTCAGGTTCCCACATTCTCTATCTCTATTTATTTTCTGTGCTACAACAAGGTCACTAACTAATCTTAATCTCTGCAGCAAGGAGACGTTACCAGGTGGCTTGTCTGTTAACAGAAAGAGAGCAGAAAGAGGTCTTTCTCAACTCAAGGTTCCTCTTTTTACCCACCAGCCTTCTTATCTGATAAATACCTTCTCATGCATTTTGAGATATTTTCAACCCTTGGACCACTATGCTTGGTTGCAGATAGAGGTTGTGGACATAGTTTCCGATGGATCAAGTGGGAACAAGATAAGTTCAAGTACTCTCAGGAAGTTAGAGGCCGAGAAACAAAAACAACAGGAAGAAGCGTCATGAACTACTCATGTCAAAATTCAGCTTTCTTTGTAATAAATAAACTTTTACTTCCCTTGTTCGTATACTAAAGGAAATGAAACTTATCAATAAAAGGTGACGCTTTGTATTACCTTTGGCAGAAACGGTGACGCTTTGCTTCTTGTGTTTCTTTGATTTAAATAACTAACAGACGACGTCGTCTTTGGTAGAATGATCAACCTGATAACGTTTTTCAAAGGAAGCAACGGCTAATTTTGTTGCAATTAAAAGGGATTTTGAAAAATATAACTGAAAAATCGGATTCTTGAAGATCTTCTTTCTAACCTCTCTTCCTTCTCCTTCAAAATTTGAATCTTTCTAATTTCTTCTGATCTTAGAAAAACCGCTGAGAGAGAGAGAGAGAGAAAGGTAGCGCAGTTGATTGAGAGAGAAGAGCTGTTCCTTAGCCAGCAAGCACTTCTTTTTGGGTAATACACCTGCTTCTTCTTTCCCATAAACCTTACCGTTTCTTTAGTTTCCACCATCGTTGAACTCGCTTTCGTCTCTCTCTTACAGTTCTTCTTCCCGGAGAACAGAAAACAAACTCTGCCTTTACAAAACCGTAACCTCCTTTACTTGTTTCAATTCGTATCTCTTTTACTCTGTTCGGTTTCTCAGTTTCTTTGTTTCTAGGGTTTCTACGACTCTCTCTTAATCTGCAAGAAAGATGAATGATCTGATGACGAAATCGTTCCTAAGTTATGTGGAACTCAAGAAGCAAGCCAAGAAGGACACAGAATCAGACCACGTAGACGTCGAGAAAGGCGAACTCAAAGATCAAGACCCCCTCTCTGGCTTCTTCGCAGAGATCGAAACCATCAAAACCCTAATCGAAGAGATCACTCATCTCTTACACGATCTCGAGAACCTAAACGAAGAGACCAAGTCCACACACAGCGCCAAGATCCTCCGCGGGTTGAGAGACAGGATGGAGTCCAACATCGTCTCCATCTCTCGCAAGGCCAACGCCGTCAAAACCCTAATCGATGCCATCGAGAAAGAGAATCGAAAGAGTGGTTCTTGCGTCGACAGGACACGTGTTTCGATCACAAACGGTGTCAGAGCCAAACTGAGAGAGACGATGAGCGAGTTTCATCGCTTGAGGGAGAGGATCTTTGCTGAGTACAGAGAAGATCTCAAGAGGAAGTACTTTTTAGCGACTGGTGAAGAGCCAAGTAACGAGGACATGGACAAGATGATATCTGGAGATGGGTTAGTGAAGACGTTTGAAGTGAAGCCAGAGATGGATCTGAAGACGAAGGAGAGACATGAAGCTGTGAATGACATTAAGAGGAGTCTTAACAGGCTTCATCAAGTGTTTCTCGATATGGCTGTTCTTGTTGAGACGCAAGGAGATAGGGTTGATGATATTGAAGCTAATGTGGCTGTTGCAGGGAGCTTTGTCAGTGGAGGAACCAACAGTTTGTTCCATGCGAATCAGATGAAGAAGAAGAGCAAGAAGTTGGTTCTTGTGTGGGGTTCTGTTTTGGGTGTTATCATTCTTCTTGTGTGTTTGATCTCCATGCTTGCTTCTCGTTGAAGTGTGGTTCATGTTCCTTGTTTGGCTCTTTTGATTACTCTTAAACAAAACTTAGGTAGTTTTTCTTTTCAAGTGTGTTGCACTGTTCCAACTCTATGAATCCAATATTATGTATTTTCTTAGTAACTTTGACGTTTGGTTTGATTAATTTTTTCATCTTTTTTTTTTTTTTTTTTTTTGTAGCCAAAACATCAATTGTCATATACCAAACTTAGCTTTGGGAGAGAACTAGTAGATGAAGTAATGTTATGAGTTTGTTTTATTCGATTAGTACTCGTATGCATGCATGGAGGCAATATTATATAACTAATTAACTACTAGAGATTCAACAAGAATCAAACAAAAACTGGTGAAATTGACAAATGTGAGATACAAACAATCACAACGAACAAACAAGAAAATGAAAATAAAAGTTAACAAAGTCGTGCGTCTATTATTCTTTTTATTGTCCTAAAACATAGTAAATGAAGCAAGTGTATTGCATTGTGATCTGTATCTATATATAACCATTAGGTATTTTCATGATCGTGTGAATGTTTATCCACATTTCCATATTTTGGAGGCTAATGAAAATTTAATTCTGAACAAATAGAAAGACAAGAGAATGTTATGATTTTGTTCTGTTCTAACTAGTACATATATGAAGCTTCTGAATCGACATTAGAGTTTATAATTAGCTAACTACTAGTGTTACAACAAGAATCAAAAAAAAAATTTGGTAAATTTGACAAATATCTAATATAAACAATCGAGAACAAACAAGCAATTGAACATGAGCAAACTCTTCGAATTTTTTTGCATAAAATCTTACCTCAAATGGTTAGTTAACTGTTCACAGATATCATTTAGTTTGACCAGTTATCATTTAGTCAGAAAACTAAATGATTTAGATTTAGTCACTACCAAATCGAAAAAAATATGTGATAGTCCAGTTGAATGATAGGTAGCAATCCTGTTTATACTATGGATTATTAGTTAACTAACCTTTGAATTATATGATTAACTTATCAATCACTATTTCAGTCTTTACTTTCTGCACCTACATCGTACCCTTTAGTCAACAAAACAACATCATACTGGTCACAAAACCAAGGAACTAATCACTAAAACATATTAGTGATGATTAATGCAATTTGACTTTTTTTGGGTCAAATGCAATTTGCCTATCAGGTTTTGAGAATATAGAATAGAAAGAGTGATGGGGGTCATTGTAAGAAAATTGACAAAGTGTATGCTGGCAAAAACATATGGTTCCCAATCTTATCAAAACTTTGTCAATCACAATGGACAAACACACATAACTGGAATCTATACCCGTTATGCTTTCTTCTGCTTTTATATTTGGACCCATACACATATGCCTTACTTATGCAAGTTTGTGCATTACATAATATCTACTTCTTTTTTCTTTATGTACAAATACAATTATAATGAGTGTATATTTATAGGTGATACAATAATGAATTGTGGTCCACATGCCAAACGTGACCGCTCCTCCTAAGTTGTAATCAGCTCTCCTGATTGTAAATTGCAATAATTTATTTTGTGGCTTTTAAAATGAAATGATTCCCAATCTTCGAAAAAGCTATTTGTTTAGTATCTATCAGGGTCTCTTTACTCATTCAACCTTTATCGTTTTAATGGTGCTAATAGTGGGTAAGATGAACAGTTAAAATAGATCAAAGATAAATGGAATTAATCATTATATTGAGCTAGTGGTTATTTTACAAAACATATGTTTTTTTTTTCTTTTGACATGTCAGCCCCTAAAAAAAACACACTTATTAGTATAAAGTGGATTCCCAAAAACATACCATACTACTTGATCCAAATTTGGAAACCATTCAAAATGAGTAGACTAATCATCTGTTATGATCCATTTTATAAACTGAAATCCAAATTCAGACTAATTAAATAATAATAATATCCTCATAGAAAAATCAAACATATAATTATACACATCAAGCTCTTTAATATTACCACTGACTACAAATAAACTATGGTCTAACTCTAAACTATAAAAAACATATTTATTCATGAACGAAAAGCAAGCAAAAATATTCTGTTAAGCAGCATCAATTCAAAGATATATATATACTAGGGCCGGCCCAGGTTACGCCCGGATTTTTCGTTAAAATTTTAATAATTTATGGTTCATTTAAATACTCGAGTTATGATATTTTTTATCCTCTATAACGTCCAAGCTTTACACTCGCATTCATGGAAGTTCTCATTGGAGAACAATTTCACAATTAAAATTCTTAACAACTTTCTCAATATAATGAGATTATGTTAAAGATAATTTGTTTACTTATATATGTGATTCAAATTTCAAGAATCACATCCACCTCCCCATGTATTTCATTATAAGAACTTGATGACAATAATGTTATTGTAAAATCTACTTTGCTATAACCGGTGCCATTGATCAATATGTCATCAAAATATAAGCAAATTATTATTCCATTACCAGACTCATCAATTTGTTATATAAACATTTATTCTAATAATTAAGTTAAACCATTTGATAAGATAATCTTATTAAAAATTTGATGTTACTGCCTTGGTGCTTTCTTTACTAATACAAATAAATGTATACACTTTATACTTATTATAAGGTACAATAAAACCTTAAGATTGCATATACAGTTTTTTATGAGTCATCGATCCATACCCATGGATCATAGTCCATATCACCGACCATGAACAATATGTTTACCACTCATGACAACTCGGTCTTAACCCCAAGGCATTTGCATCCATAAGGATCAATAACTCGCATGATTCAAGTCATATTATTCCGGTAAAATTATATTCATACCCTTTCAATAACATTATGTTTTCACCCTTTCAGTAACATCATGTTCGCACCATTTTGGTAACATTATGTTCGCACCCTTTCGGTAACGTTACATTTGCATCCTTTCGGTGATGTTACATTTTCACCTTTTTCGGTGACAATATGTTCGTACCCTTTCAGTGACGATAAATTTGCACCCTCTCGGTGACGTTAAATTCGCACCCTTTCGGTGACATTACATTCGCACCCTTTCCAGGGTATTACATTCCCACTTTTTCGGTGATGGTACATTCGCTTCTTTTCGGTCTCGAATTGTTCGCACCCTTTCGGCTCTGACTCGTTTGCACCATTTTGGTTTTGAAGTGCCGACACATTCACACCTTTATGGTCTCGAAATGTTCACACCTTTTCAGTCATGATCCGTTTGTACTTTTTTGGTTACTACCCGTTCGTATATTTGCACCCCTTTGGATACGATCCATTACCTCTTCGGTCACGATACGTTTGCATCCCTTCAGACACAACATGATTGCATCTTTTTAGTCACGACATGTTCGCCCCTCTTTGACAATGACTCATTCTCACCCTTCGCTTTGCACCCCTAGGGTGACGAACCATTCGCACCCCTAAGACAACAAACCATTTGCATCCTTTAGATGATGACTTTTTCACACCCCTTGGATGATGAATTTTTCACACCCTTTGGACGATTTCCGTGCTTGATCATCATTAACAATATTTATTTAAAGTGAAATTAACATACCTCTTAGAATATAGATTCTCCATTGGTTCGTCTTCTTACTCCATCTTCGAAAGCTTACTCTCTGAAGCATTTTCAACTCTCTAAACTTTGGTTTATCTATATAATAACTATAGTTCACAACGAGAATACTCTTTAAGATTGCTGGTTAATTTGTGGTTTGGTAACCCGAATAGGTGTGAATTATATGCTTAGATAATGATTGAATCACCATGTTTTTTTGAAGAGTATTTCAACAATTTTCCATGCCTTTGGTTTACACGAAATCTCTTTATGGATAAGACAATCACAATCTCATTCTTGTTCCAGGCTAAGATATAAGAATAACAAATAGAGCTATAATGCTTATATGTGTTTTTTTCAAAGATCTTTGATGATTTTCGAACAATGAATCTCTCTCTCTTTTTCTATATATATTAGTTTCTGATGTTTCTCTCTTGTTTAAGCTGTACAAGGTTTAATTCAAGTTATGATTTACCAATAATTTCTTATATAAAGTATGAAGGGTTACAATGGTTAGAACCAATAATTGTAATAGTTATCCAATCATTATAACTATTAATACCAGCTACAATGCTTAGCTAAAAGTCACAATGGTTAATCAGTAAAGATTTTAATCACCAATAGTTATAAGGATTCATCACTAATAGTCACAAAACATAAACAAATGCAATCATTCATTTTATTTTTTATTTTTAACATCAAAAGATTATTTTATTACTCAAACTTAAGGTGACCTAAATTCTCTGTGAATCTAGACTTGAATAGAACAACCAATAAAAATCAATTTGCGATAAGAATTAATTATTCATTTAGACAATTGCAATACTTCACTTAAATAGTTGCAATGATACACTTAGATTTCCAACAATACTTGTTTAAATTCCAGTGTAAGAGTGATTTTTACTCTACGAATTATTCCCAAGAGCCTTACAAAAAGTGATGTTCAGTCTCCACCAAACCTTGGACAAGCCGTATTCATTTAAATAATTTCTTCACGAAATTTTTCACTATTGCAAAAAGTCATATAATTTGTATTATTAGAAAGATCTTCCACATAAATTATTGACATTTTTATATGAAAGTTGAATTGATATCCCAACAAGAACAATGCATGTAGACAAAAATATAGACTAATCGGATAAGTTATCAAATGTAAGAAACAGATTAACTTGACCAATAAAAAATTTAGGCACTATCACTAAAAGAAAACACCGTGTTCCGATAATCATATTCGTCGGTATGTCTTCGGAATAAAGGTATTCTGAGAACATACCGATGAACACGGTCGTCGGAAATACAAATTTTCTTTGGAAATTCCTCGGAAAATTCCGAGGAAATACTGAGAACCAAAATTCCGAGGGATTTCCGAGGACGCCCTCCTTTAAAATATTCTGAGAAAATTAAGCCCTCGAAATAATCTGAAGAACTGCAGCCCTC